AATTAGTCCACATCTCTCTTTTAGAAGTTCTGATGATTCCTACTGGACTTCATGTCTTGCTTAACTCCATATCTCTATTAAAAATAATGAAAGATTAGAAACAGTTTTGAAAACAATTAAATTGATAATGCTTAGATTTCGATGACGTTATTTAATAAAGGAAAAGTTTTGATAAAGAATTTCAAAGTAAATAAAAACAGAAAAACTTATAAATAATGTTATTGTAAAGTAAAAGTTTATGTAAAAAGAAAGAAAAGATAAAAAACGTGTAAGGAATGAACCAAAAACGAATTACTCGAAAATAAAGAAAAGAAAAGCAAAAATACAATAAGTGAATAAATCTTACATGTCCTTGGTGTTCCTTTTGCATTGTCTGAGCTTAAATTAGTCCACATCTCTCTTTTAGAAGTTCTGATGATTCCTACTGGACTTCATGTCTTGCTTAACTCCATATCTCTATTAAAAATAATGAAAGATTAGAAACAGTTTTGAAAACAATTAAATTGATAATGCTTAGATTTCGATGACGTTATTTAATAAAGGAAAAGTTTTGATAAAGAATTTCAAAGTAAATAAAAACAGAAAAACTTATAAATAATGTTATTGTAAAGTAAAAGTTTATGTAAAAAGAAAGAAAAGATAAAAAACGTGTAAGGAATGAACCAAAAACGAATTACTCGAAAATAAAGAAAAGAAAAGCAAAAATACAATAAGTGAATAAATCTTACATGTCCTTGGTGTTCCTTTTGCATTGTCTGAGCTTAAATTAGTCCACATCTCTCTTTTAGAAGTTCTGATGATTCCTACTGGACTTCATGTCTTGCTTAACTCCATATCTCTATTAAAAATAATGAAAGATTAGAAACAGTTTTGAAAACAATTAAATTGATAATGCTTAGATTTCGATGACGTTATTTAATAAAGGAAAAGTTTTGATAAAGAATTTCAAAGTAAATAAAAACAGAAAAACTTATAAATAATGTTATTGTAAAGTAAAAGTTTATGTAAAAAGAAAGAAAAGATAAAAAACGTGTAAGGAATGAACCAAAAACGAATTACTCGAAAATAAAGAAAAGAAAAGCAAAAATACAATAAGTGAATAAATCTTACATGTCCTTGGTGTTCCTTTTGCATTGTCTGAGCTTAAATTAGTCCACATCTCTCTTTTAGAAGTTCTGATGATTCCTACTGGACTTCATGTCTTGCTTAACTCCATATCTCTATTAAAAATAATGAAAGATTAGAAACAGTTTTGAAAACAATTAAATTGATAATGCTTAGATTTCGATGACGTTATTTAATAAAGGAAAAGTTTTGATAAAGAATTTCAAAGTAAATAAAAACAGAAAAACTTATAAATAATGTTATTGTAAAGTAAAAGTTTATGTAAAAAGAAAGAAAAGATAAAAAACGTGTAAGGAATGAACCAAAAACGAATTACTCGAAAATAAAGAAAAGAAAAGCAAAAATACAATAAGTGAATAAATCTTACATGTCCTTGGTGTTCCTTTTGCATTGTCTGAGCTTAAATTAGTCCACATCTCTCTTTTAGAAGTTCTGATGATTCCTACTGGACTTCATGTCTTGCTTAACTCCATATCTCTATTAAAAATAATGAAAGATTAGAAACAGTTTTGAAAACAATTAAATTGATAATGCTTAGATTTCGATGACGTTATTTAATAAAGGAAAAGTTTTGATAAAGAATTTCAAAGTAAATAAAAACAGAAAAACTTATAAATAATGTTATTGTAAAGTAAAAGTTTATGTAAAAAGAAAGAAAAGATAAAAAACGTGTAAGGAATGAACCAAAAACGAATTACTCGAAAATAAAGAAAAGAAAAGCAAAAATACAATAAGTGAATAAATCTTACATGTCCTTGGTGTTCCTTTTGCATTGTCTGAGCTTAAATTAGTCCACATCTCTCTTTTAGAAGTTCTGATGATTCCTACTGGACTTCATGTCTTGCTTAACTCCATATCTCTATTAAAAATAATGAAAGATTAGAAACAGTTTTGAAAACAATTAAATTGATAATGCTTAGATTTCGATGACGTTATTTAATAAAGGAAAAGTTTTGATAAAGAATTTCAAAGTAAATAAAAACAGAAAAACTTATAAATAATGTTATTGTAAAGTAAAAGTTTATGTAAAAAGAAAGAAAAGATAAAAAACGTGTAAGGAATGAACCAAAAACGAATTACTCGAAAATAAAGAAAAGAAAAGCAAAAATACAATAAGTGAATAAATCTTACATGTCCTTGGTGTTCCTTTTGCATTGTCTGAGCTTAAATTAGTCCACATCTCTCTTTTAGAAGTTCTGATGATTCCTACTGGACTTCATGTCTTGCTTAACTCCATATCTCTATTAAAAATAATGAAAGATTAGAAACAGTTTTGAAAACAATTAAATTGATAATGCTTAGATTTCGATGACGTTATTTAATAAAGGAAAAGTTTTGATAAAGAATTTCAAAGTAAATAAAAACAGAAAAACTTATAAATAATGTTATTGTAAAGTAAAAGTTTATGTAAAAAGAAAGAAAAGATAAAAAACGTGTAAGGAATGAACCAAAAACGAATTACTCGAAAATAAAGAAAAGAAAAGCAAAAATACAATAAGTGAATAAATCTTACATGTCCTTGGTGTTCCTTTTGCATTGTCTGAGCTTAAATTAGTCCACATCTCTCTTTTAGAAGTTCTGATGATTCCTACTGGACTTCATGTCTTGCTTAACTCCATATCTCTATTAAAAATAATGAAAGATTAGAAACAGTTTTGAAAACAATTAAATTGATAATGCTTAGATTTCGATGACGTTATTTAATAAAGGAAAAGTTTTGATAAAGAATTTCAAAGTAAATAAAAACAGAAAAACTTATAAATAATGTTATTGTAAAGTAAAAGTTTATGTAAAAAGAAAGAAAAGATAAAAAACGTGTAAGGAATGAACCAAAAACGAATTACTCGAAAATAAAGAAAAGAAAAGCAAAAATACAATAAGTGAATAAATCTTACATGTCCTTGGTGTTCCTTTTGCATTGTCTGAGCTTAAATTAGTCCACATCTCTCTTTTAGAAGTTCTGATGATTCCTACTGGACTTCATGTCTTGCTTAACTCCATATCTCTATTAAAAATAATGAAAGATTAGAAACAGTTTTGAAAACAATTAAATTGATAATGCTTAGATTTCGATGACGTTATTTAATAAAGGAAAAGTTTTGATAAAGAATTTCAAAGTAAATAAAAACAGAAAAACTTATAAATAATGTTATTGTAAAGTAAAAGTTTATGTAAAAAGAAAGAAAAGATAAAAAACGTGTAAGGAATGAACCAAAAACGAATTACTCGAAAATAAAGAAAAGAAAAGCAAAAATACAATAAGTGAATAAATCTTACATGTCCTTGGTGTTCCTTTTGCATTGTCTGAGCTTAAATTAGTCCACATCTCTCTTTTAGAAGTTCTGATGATTCCTACTGGACTTCATGTCTTGCTTAACTCCATATCTCTATTAAAAATAATGAAAGATTAGAAACAGTTTTGAAAACAATTAAATTGATAATGCTTAGATTTCGATGACGTTATTTAATAAAGGAAAAGTTTTGATAAAGAATTTCAAAGTAAATAAAAACAGAAAAACTTATAAATAATGTTATTGTAAAGTAAAAGTTTATGTAAAAAGAAAGAAAAGATAAAAAACGTGTAAGGAATGAACCAAAAACGAATTACTCGAAAATAAAGAAAAGAAAAGCAAAAATACAATAAGTGAATAAATCTTACATGTCCTTGGTGTTCCTTTTGCATTGTCTGAGCTTAAATTAGTCCACATCTCTCTTTTAGAAGTTCTGATGATTCCTACTGGACTTCATGTCTTGCTTAACTCCATATCTCTATTAAAAATAATGAAAGATTAGAAACAGTTTTGAAAACAATTAAATTGATAATGCTTAGATTTCGATGACGTTATTTAATAAAGGAAAAGTTTTGATAAAGAATTTCAAAGTAAATAAAAACAGAAAAACTTATAAATAATGTTATTGTAAAGTAAAAGTTTATGTAAAAAGAAAGAAAAGATAAAAAACGTGTAAGGAATGAACCAAAAACGAATTACTCGAAAATAAAGAAAAGAAAAGCAAAAATACAATAAGTGAATAAATCTTACATGTCCTTGGTGTTCCTTTTGCATTGTCTGAGCTTAAATTAGTCCACATCTCTCTTTTAGAAGTTCTGATGATTCCTACTGGACTTCATGTCTTGCTTAACTCCATATCTCTATTAAAAATAATGAAAGATTAGAAACAGTTTTGAAAACAATTAAATTGATAATGCTTAGATTTCGATGACGTTATTTAATAAAGGAAAAGTTTTGATAAAGAATTTCAAAGTAAATAAAAACAGAAAAACTTATAAATAATGTTATTGTAAAGTAAAAGTTTATGTAAAAAGAAAGAAAAGATAAAAAACGTGTAAGGAATGAACCAAAAACGAATTACTCGAAAATAAAGAAAAGAAAAGCAAAAATACAATAAGTGAATAAATCTTACATGTCCTTGGTGTTCCTTTTGCATTGTCTGAGCTTAAATTAGTCCACATCTCTCTTTTAGAAGTTCTGATGATTCCTACTGGACTTCATGTCTTGCTTAACTCCATATCTCTATTAAAAATAATGAAAGATTAGAAACAGTTTTGAAAACAATTAAATTGATAATGCTTAGATTTCGATGACGTTATTTAATAAAGGAAAAGTTTTGATAAAGAATTTCAAAGTAAATAAAAACAGAAAAACTTATAAATAATGTTATTGTAAAGTAAAAGTTTATGTAAAAAGAAAGAAAAGATAAAAAACGTGTAAGGAATGAACCAAAAACGAATTACTCGAAAATAAAGAAAAGAAAAGCAAAAATACAATAAGTGAATAAATCTTACATGTCCTTGGTGTTCCTTTTGCATTGTCTGAGCTTAAATTAGTCCACATCTCTCTTTTAGAAGTTCTGATGATTCCTACTGGACTTCATGTCTTGCTTAACTCCATATCTCTATTAAAAATAATGAAAGATTAGAAACAGTTTTGAAAACAATTAAATTGATAATGCTTAGATTTCGATGACGTTATTTAATAAAGGAAAAGTTTTGATAAAGAATTTCAAAGTAAATAAAAACAGAAAAACTTATAAATAATGTTATTGTAAAGTAAAAGTTTATGTAAAAAGAAAGAAAAGATAAAAAACGTGTAAGGAATGAACTAAAAGCAAACTTTTGAAAATAAAGAAAAAGAAAGGCAAAAAAACAATAAGTAAATAAAACTTACATTTCCCTGGTGTCCCTTTTGTCTTGAATGGGTTGAAATTAATCCATATCTCCCTTTTAGATGTCCTAGTAGTCCTGATGCTCACTGCCGGACTTCATGTCTTGCGTAACTCCATACTCTGATGAGGATAAAGGAAAAGAACTAGAAAATTTTGAATAAAGTTAAATTAATAAATTTTATTTTTCAACGACGTTATTTAATAAAGGAAAAGTTTATTAAAGAGTTTGAAGCAAAATAAAAATAGAAAAACGTTATAAATAAAGTGAATGTAAAGAAAAGGTTTATATAAAAAGAAGGAAAAGACAAAAAATGTGTAAGGAATTGTGTCTTGTGGTCTCATTTATACTAGTAAATTTAGGAGAATCTTTTGTATTGTTTTTTAAATAAAATTTTAAAAATTTAAAATTCACTGCTTGACGCTCTAAAGCATTTTCTTTGCAGTTGTTTGAGCTGATTTTGATTTGGATTTAAAATAAGTTAGTAACTGTCCTATCTGTCTTGATAAATAATGCGGTTTTATTTATCTCTGTATGAAGATATACTTTCTCAATTGAATCTTGAATTCCTTCGTTAAGAATAAATAATAAAATGAATTTAAACGTTTATGAATTCAACACTGAAATTTTGTAAAAAGTTAAGCAATTTTGCGCTTCACTAAAAGCTACAGATAAATGATGAATGGATGGAATATTAATTGATTTAGTAATTGAAAAACTCACCACAGGGAATCATATGGAAACACAGAATAAATCCTGTGGCACTGCATTATTTTCATATAAAACAGTTTCATTTCCACGGAAAACTCACCAATTTCCCGTAACAGTTTCACCTGCCTATCCGACATGTTGTTTACGATCTACTAAATGATTAATCGGCAATTAATGTAGACAATGGATATCGATATTGAAACTAGTGGCGACATCGCCGAGGTTAATACGTAGGGCTTTTGAAATATATGTTGAAATAATTAATCTTTGCAATATCTTTTACTAATAATATTGTGTTTTCTTTTTCAAATTTCCTAATCAAATGAATTAGAATTAAACAAACAGCAACAAAATATACATTTTCGTTAAGGCAGTTCTTTGCATTATGAAGTAGAAAAATAATGGTAATAACTGTAAATAAGAAAATTTATGAAAGTCATAGACGAATACGTAACGGAAAATTACAATTGAAGTATGATGAATTTTATAACAACAAAATAGTATTAAATTTACAAATTAATTTCTATTGAGGGGTAAAAGTGATTTGATAATGATTGGACTGGAACTGGAAAATATTTAAAAATACTTCATCTACTTAATCTTTTTGAGATCAACCAACTAATATGTTCCCTCTTTTCTAAATAAAAATAACTGCAACTAATGTTGCTTTTAATAAAACAATTACAACAATTAAAAACAATAAACGTAAATAAAATTATACGTACAAATTTGACATTTATATATTAGGATGCATGCCATATTTACATAGGAAAAACTAGCAAGAATTTTAACATCAGAATAGGCGAACACAGAAGATTATATTGTGCTCACGATTGACTTCTTAAAATCATGAATTTAATGAAGAGTTTGAAAGAAAATAAATGGTGAAGATAATAGTTGTCGATTTTAGAAAAATTAGAAATTAATAAACGTATCTAATGAACAAAAAGTGTTCAGCACTCCCCAGTGTTGAATATTTTCCTTGATTTCACCCTTAGAAGTAAATATTTTCGGCTTAAGCTATTAATACATAAATAGACTTTTGCAGAAGTCGTAACAATTGTCAGGCAAAATTATTATATACTAGAACGTTTGCATTTTTCTAATAAAAATAATAATTTCAGTAAATACACATTAGAAAAGTCGTACTCTCAAGAAATAAATTGTTTTAAATTAATTTTTACCTATTATCTCCACGCTGGAACAATTCCTGACAAGGGCAGTGTAACTTTACACAACATACTTACGTACTAACATGTTTTTTTGTATTTCTCGAGATAGATATGATAAGTATTAGTCAGATAGGCAAGGTGACTGAATGTTAGATTATGAACAAAACAGTTCTCTTATTTCAATAGCAAAATATACTACCGAAAGTTTACGAATTATCGAAACATAAAAATTATACAATACCATCCCACTAAGTAAACCGGTTACCATAAAATAAAAAAATCCCTGTATCACTTATTATCATAATGAAATAAAATGATTTTTAATGTTTCAAATATTTTTTCTAATAAACTCATCAACTTCATTCATGGTAAATTAAAAACTACTTACATTTTTAACCACTTAACCATTATCCCATTCTCTCCATTAATATGCTACTAAAAACTGACCGCGTTAAAACACCCTTCTAAAAGTTGTAAAAAATAAAGATTACGCACGAAAGTATCTAGAATCCAGTGGTGCTATCAGATTTGGGGTGCGATCTGACATAATTAAGCTACCCTTCAATTGGATGCTTAAATGACCAAAAAAATGTAAATACAAAAACGCGCACGTAAATTTTCGAACTGTTAAAACAATATTCTGAACGTTCTAAGGGATGAAAAATATGTAAGAAGGTATGTAGAATCCAGTGGTGCTATCAGATTTGGGGTGCGATCTGACATAATTAAGCTACCCTTCAATTGGATGCTTAAATGACCAAAAAAATGTAAATACAAAAACGCGCACGTAAATTTTCGAACTGTTAAAACAATATTCTGAACGTTCTAAGGGATGAAAAATATGTAAGAAGGTATGTAGAATCCAGTGGTGCTATCAGATTTGGGGTGCGATCTGACATAATTAAGCTACCCTTCAATTGGATGCTTAAATGACCAAAAAAATGTAAATACAAAAACGCGCACGTAAATTTTCGAACTGTTAAAACAATATTCTGAACGTTCTAAGGGATGAAAAATATGTAAGAAGGTATGTAGAATCCAGTGGTGCTATCAGATTTGGGGTGCGATCTGACATAATTAAGCTACCCTTCAATTGGATGCTTAAATGACCAAAAAAATGTAAATACAAAAACGCGCACGTAAATTTTCGAACTGTTAAAACAATATTCTGAACGTTCTAAGGGATGAAAAATATGTAAGAAGGTATGTAGAATCCAGTGGTGCTATCAGATTTGGGGTGCGATCTGACATAATTAAGCTACCCTTCAATTGGATGCTTAAATGACCAAAAAAATGTAAATACAAAAACGCGCACGTAAATTTTCGAACTGTTAAAACAATATTCTGAACGTTCTAAGGGATGAAAAATATGTAAGAAGGTATGTAGAATCCAGTGGTGCTATCAGATTTGGGGTGCGATCTGACATAATTAAGCTACCCTTCAATTGGATGCTTAAATGACCAAAAAAATGTAAATACAAAAACGCGCACGTAAATTTTCGAACTGTTAAAACAATATTCTGAACGTTCTAAGGGATGAAAAATATGTAAGAAGGTATGTAGAATCCAGTGGTGCTATCAGATTTGGGGTGCGATCTGACATAATTAAGCTACCCTTCAATTGGATGCTTAAATGACCAAAAAAATGTAAATACAAAAACGCGCACGTAAATTTTCGAACTGTTAAAACAATATTCTGAACGTTCTAAGGGATGAAAAATATGTAAGAAGGTATGTAGAATCCAGTGGTGCTATCAGATTTGGGGTGCGATCTGACATAATTAAGCTACCCTTCAATTGGATGCTTAAATGACCAAAAAAATGTAAATACAAAAACGCGCACGTAAATTTTCGAACTGTTAAAACAATATTCTGAACGTTCTAAGGGATGAAAAATATGTAAGAAGGTATGTAGAATCCAGTGGTGCTATCAGATTTGGGGTGCGATCTGACATAATTAAGCTACCCTTCAATTGGATGCTTAAATGACCAAAAAAATGTAAATACAAAAACGCGCACGTAAATTTTCGAACTGTTAAAACAATATTCTGAACGTTCTAAGGGATGAAAAATATGTAAGAAGGTATGTAGAATCCAGTGGTGCTATCAGATTTGGGGTGCGATCTGACATAATTAAGCTACCCTTCAATTGGATGCTTAAATGACCAAAAAAATGTAAATACAAAAACGCGCACGTAAATTTTCGAACTGTTAAAACAATATTCTGAACGTTCTAAGGGATGAAAAATATGTAAGAAGGTATGTAGAATCCAGTGGTGCTATCAGATTTGGGGTGCGATCTGACATAATTAAGCTACCCTTCAATTGGATGCTTAAATGACCAAAAAAATGTAAATACAAAAACGCGCACGTAAATTTTCGAACTGTTAAAACAATATTCTGAACGTTCTAAGGGATGAAAAATATGTAAGAAGGTATGTAGAATCCAGTGGTGCTATCAGATTTGGGGTGCGATCTGACATAATTAAGCTACCCTTCAATTGGATGCTTAAATGACCAAAAAAATGTAAATACAAAAACGCGCACGTAAATTTTCGAACTGTTAAAACAATATTCTGAACGTTCTAAGGGATGAAAAATATGTAAGAAGGTATGTAGAATCCAGTGGTGCTATCAGATTTGGGGTGCGATCTGACATAATTAAGCTACCCTTCAATTGGATGCTTAAATGACCAAAAAAATGTAAATACAAAAACGCGCACGTAAATTTTCGAACTGTTAAAACAATATTCTGAACGTTCTAAGGGATGAAAAATATGTAAGAAGGTATGTAGAATCCAGTGGTGCTATCAGATTTGGGGTGCGATCTGACATAATTAAGCTACCCTTCAATTGGATGCTTAAATGACCAAAAAAATGTAAATACAAAAACGCGCACGTAAATTTTCGAACTGTTAAAACAATATTCTGAACGTTCTAAGGGATGAAAAATATGTAAGAAGGTATGTAGAATCCAGTGGTGCTATCAGATTTGGGGTGCGATCTGACATAATTAAGCTACCCTTCAATTGGATGCTTAAATGACCAAAAAAATGTAAATACAAAAACGCGCACGTAAATTTTCGAACTGTTAAAACAATATTCTGAACGTTCTAAGGGATGAAAAATATGTAAGAAGGTATGTAGAATCCAGTGGTGCTATCAGATTTGGGGTGCGATCTGACATAATTAAGCTACCCTTCAATTGGATGCTTAAATGACCAAAAAAATGTAAATACAAAAACGCGCACGTAAATTTTCGAACTGTTAAAACAATATTCTGAACGTTCTAAGGGATGAAAAATATGTAAGAAGGTATGTAGAATCCAGTGGTGCTATCAGATTTGGGGTGCGATCTGACATAATTAAGCTACCCTTCAATTGGATGCTTAAATGACCAAAAAAATGTAAATACAAAAACGCGCACGTAAATTTTCGAACTGTTAAAACAATATTCTGAACGTTCTAAGGGATGAAAAATATGTAAGAAGGTATGTAGAATCCAGTGGTGCTATCAGATTTGGGGTGCGATCTGACATAATTAAGCTACCCTTCAATTGGATGCTTAAATGACCAAAAAAATGTANTCAGGGCCTCATTGTGAATATTTTTATATTTTTTAAAAATAGACTAGGTATGTTCTGTATAATTGGCACTAACATTATTTTTACGTGATGTATAGCTCGTATCGTTGAATATAATTTTAATACAAAGATGTTAAATTTAAATTGTAATGCATGCTTATTCATTCTCTAACATAAAAATTATACCTAATGTTTCATCCCAATAACTTAAAACCTAATGCAAAATACACAAATAATGTAAAAAAGTTTGTGTGCCACTGTTACTCACAGATCAAATGACCTATCTAAAATCATATGACTGAACGCACGTGATTCCAATATTTACAGCAACAGTGAAACTTCCTGGCACTTTTAAATACATACGTTAAGTACAATTCTGATAAATGTAGTTAATGGTGTAGTGGTGCAGTACTATGGCATTATTTCATAAATTGTTTTTTACAAGAAAAAAGTGCGATATCAAATGTAACAATAACGATATTAGGTACGTTAACGTTAAACTTTTAGGATTTTTTTAAAACTGTTATTTGTTGTTAATGCCTGTTCGATTCATTTCAACAGTAACCTTACTTTTTACCTGTTGAAAAATGTATGAATATATAAATTATACAAACAAAAAGAAATAATTAAACAATTCCTAAGCAGTGCTCAAGCTGATTGTAAAATTTTAATAGTACTTGTTTATAAAAGTGTTGTTGTGGAAAGGGGAGCACATTTAAAATTTCATTCATGTACCAGTTTATTTAATCAGTGATCAATGAATCCAGTGGTGCTATCAGATTTGGGGTGCGATCTGACATAATTAAGCTACCCTTCAATTGGATGCTTAAATGACCAAAAAAATGTAAATACAANACCTTACTTTTTACCTGTTGAAAAATGTATGAATATATAAATTATACAAACAAAAAGAAATAATTAAACAATTCCTAAGCAGTGCTCAAGCTGATTGTAAAATTTTAATAGTACTTGTTTATAAAAGTGTTGTTGTGGAAAGGGGAGCACATTTAAAATTTCATTCATGTACCAGTTTATTTAATCAGTGATCAATAATTATTTAAAATTGTAAAGTCGCAATCTTGTTGGTTACAAAATATGAAACGTCTACTATTTATTAAATAGTGGGGACATGAATATGTCAGGTTCTTTCTATTTTTAGAACCATATAAGTAGATAAATTATCAAATAATCAGTGGCAACAAAAATAGAGCATCTCCTTAAATTCATAAGTTGAATAGTTAATGTTGAGCCAGCTACCATTTATATTAGCTGTTGTGTATTTCATTTACTTACAATTTTGTCTATATTGTTTTTCAGTGACAACATTTTTGATTTTTCGAGTGAGCAGGTAAGAGTTGTTTTATTCAAAGAATGCGATTACAGAGGAAGAAAGCTCTTATTTGATTCCCAAACCATTGAGAAAATAGAAATTCCAAAAGGCAATAAAAGTGGAAATAATTTAAAAAACGAGACACTTTATGCAGAAATTAACAGTGGATATGGTTTCAAGGTATAAATGAAAACTTAATTATCCTTTTTCCCTTCTCTTTTTTCATTCTGATGTCCATTCTAATATTCTTCACTTAACATTATTTTTCAGTTACATAAGCCATATAGTGATACAAGACTTCTCAGTGAAATGATTTTTGGAACAGTTTCTATGAGCCACAGGGGATCATCATTAAAAATTCACTGTCTTCAGTCTCCTTCACGTATGATGTTTACTCAAGTAAATTAATTTTTAACAGTGGAAATATGAGTAAGCAAAATGCTCATTGTAACTTTTTGTTCAGATATTTCCTAGTCCAAAGAACATTTCAAGGAATCAAAAATCAACATCTAACACAAACAGTTCTGGTTTTTCAACTCAAAGTTTAGATGGCTCATTTCACTGTGATGGGTCTGCTAGTGCATGCAGTTCGAATTCAATGAGTGACAATTCTGTTCATAGTACATGTTCAGATACTGTTTTAAGTAAGTCATAGTGAGAAAAAGGGGAAATTCCCTAAATTCAAGAATTAAAACAGCAAATTCATAGTTCTATGTTAAAATGTGGAAGGATGAATATTAATACTGATGAATTTGTTTCTTTAGTATGTAGAAGAAGTTCAGAAACTACTCCTTTAGATGTCCCCAATGTATCTTCATATCACAGTAAGAGTTTAAGCCCTGGAGGAACAGGAGATTCAGGAGTCAGTGGTTTTCATAACTTCCAACCAAGTTTGAGTACAGAAGCATCATCCATACCATATAATATGATCAATAAAGGTATATATTATATCCTGTATATCACAATATTAGACATTAAAATTGTAAATACATGCAGGGGTTTCTTCATTTCAGATAGCAACATAACTTTTTCTTGTGGTAGTTTATACAAGAAATACTTAAGAAGTACTAGTACTTCTTTGGAAAATTCCAGTCATTCATTGAATACTTGTGCATCTGCAGAGGAATATCATCCAAAATCTCACTCTCGCAGTAACAACAAACTGGGAGTGGCACTGATTGTCGAATTAACAAGAGGGCAAGAAAAGTAATGTCTTAAGCGAGCTAAGTGTTTGACTGTTCCTTCATTTTTGGTCTTTTCACTTCAGAAAAATGGAACAATTCTTGTTGGAACATGCAGCTTTAATGGAGTCCTTGATTTGGAGCGCTAGACAAATGACAGAAATAGCGTACATCAGATATCAACGTTTTTTTTCCATAATGAACCAGTTAACTTTAAAAATCAAAAGCTGGCTGGTTAAGTTCTTGTCAGGGCCTCATCTGTCTTCGAATATGTGGTTAGGCCTATCTTCTACCGTCTGTGATAATATGTATAGTATTCAACGTGAAAGTAAAAACATTAGTTTTAATTTGTGTGACTCCCAAAAAACACATGTGAACAGTAATTTACAAAGCAAGTGCTTTTGTGATACTTACGATTATTCGAAAAAGATGCAACACAGTAGTAGGACGTTCGAATTTTCCGTGTTAAATTGGACCGACTTCTTTAAATATGACTTCAACTTCAATCATACCAGAAACGAAAATCGTTCTAAAAATAAGATTCTTGCTAAACAGTTTTTGAACGATTTTTGTGAACTTTTAGAAAACGTTGATGTGAAAGATACCAAATTGTGAGTCAAAACCACTCGTTTATTAAAGTCCACTCTATTACTAATTCTTATTCTTTATGGTGTTGTTTTTCAGTTTTGTCAGCACTCTTGTCACTGCCGTTTTAACTCATCATTTGGGATGGGTAGCAACAGTTTTACCTGCATCATCAGAAGAAAAGAAGAAAATTGACGATCTTCAGTGTTCTTCAAACGCATTGTGGGGCCAGTTGGCCGACCTATATGGTGCTGTAGGGAATCCTACGAAAATGTCCCACACAGTTATTTCCGGAACAAACAAAGAACATTTGATGGAAAAAATATTGAATTGTCTCTCTTACTTCGTGAGATGTAATGATATAGAAAGGAAAACATTTTTAAGAAAGGACGTTAAGTTAGATAATAAAGAGGCCGATAGAATTTGCATAGAAAGTTCTTTTATACCAAAAGAAAACTACAAAAAATACAAGGATCACATAAAGGAACTCGAAGAAAATAATGAAGAATTCTTCAAAAAGCTTGAGTCAAAGAAAAACTTTTATTTGAAAACGACAGTTGAAAATATTGATAATAAAATTTGTAATAACGATGTGGATAACAAAAGGCCAAACGAAATAAATTTATCTGGTACTCGTAATTGCTTCTTTGAACCACAGAAACCGTCCAAGTTGGTTGAAAAAATTAAAAATTTAGGGATAGAAGCCAAAAGCTGTGGAAATTCAAATGAAGATCAGATTGAAGATAAATTATTATCAAGTTCAGAAGCTACTGAGGGATTTCACAAAATATTTTTGCAAGTATCGCGATCCCAAACGTCTTCAAATGAAAAATCACAAAGCAGTTCTAGTAATACGTTAACCCCGCCAAGATCGGGTAATAGTACAACAAATCACCTTGACTTATCAGTTAGCAGTTCAACTGCTTCTAAACTAAAAGAAAAATCCCAGCTGTGTCCTTCTACAGTATCAAAGTCTAATAGTTTGAAAAGAACAAAGACCAAAGCAGTCATTGACGCGTCAGCTTTTGATTGTAAAGATTACCAAGAAAATTCTGCATCGCCAGAGCAGGAAGTAGTGTTTGTCTTAGGAGACAATGAAAAGTTGGTGGGAATCAAAAGAGAACTAAGTGCTAGGAATTTAAATAAAATAGAAACTGATACTAGAAATGTTAAAACAGGAGAACTTCCCAATAAACGTTTCCTGAACAGTGCCATGGAAAAAGAATTTTTGAATAATTCCGTATTCCAAGACGCAGATTTTATAAAAAATGGAAATGGTAATTTAAAATCAAGTTCGTCTTTGGAGTCAATAACAAAAGCTTGCAAAGAAGAAACCAAAAAGCCTTTGTCTGAAAGCAAAGATAAGGACTTGAGCCGTTCTCAAAGTGTTCCACCTGAAGATAAAATGATAAAGAAAAATAAGGAGACTAAAGAACAGACCAATAAGTGTCGCTACAGATATTCTGGAGTGAAGTTCAATTTTTATCAATATCCCCAGATTGTAGAAAACTATTTGAGGAGCAAAAATATCGAAATGTCTCATTTACCTTTCGCTAAAGACGTGACAACACTATTAGATGATTATAAATTCGATTTTACCACTTGTGAAAGTGATGATGAAGAAATGGAAACATTGCAAACACCTTCGAACGCTTCTGATGTTGTGTCATTCAGTGAATTATCAAATACTCCTAAGCAAAGTTGCACTAAGCAAATTGGTAGTCAAAAATCAAAAACAATTCTCGAAAGTGATTTACCGACAAAAAGTCATTGTATAGATTTGTCTAAAAGAGATGAAAACATTCCAAGAAATGTCTCAACTACATTACAAGATTTTCAGGAAGTAAAGTCGTTAAAAATGCAGAAATTTCCTGGGAAGACGACAGAGAATAACATTCCAGAAAGTAGCATAAATTTAATGCCGTCTGCAAGTGGAGATTGTAATGTATTGTTTGATCAAGAGGAAACCGATTCCATTTTATCAAAAGAAGGAAAACCTGACAAAGTGGCATTAAATAAAAACCTGGAAATAATAGAATTGCCGATGCCCAAGTAAGTAATATTCTGAAATATACCTTATTAACAAAACAACTTTAAGTTGACTACATAATTACCCTAACATTAAACTTTAACTTTCATAGAGCCAGTAAATTTAGATTTTAATTTTTGATTTTGTTTCTAAACTGTTTTAGTTCTTTGGTTTTGTCCCCATTGGAGAAACCTGTAGGTTACACGAGTTCCTTAATGAGGGGTGTTGGAGAAAACTATATCTCTAACATGGTGTTACAAGGCACCTCCGCACCTAAAATTGAATGGGAATCGATGTTGAAACAAGACTTGATCCTTTGTACTCGGCATCCGTTACTTGATCAACCAATAGACGAGGCCGTTGCCATTGTGGCAAACACTGATACATGGTAAAAAAGACAATAATTAATTGCTTATTTTAACAATGTTCAAAAACACACATACACACGCCAATATCGAAGTTACAAGTTCACTAATGAAACTTATTTAGTACTAAACCATAAACATTTCGTTAATTTTAGGGACGTCCAGTTATTGTCTAGTCATACGTATATAGTGGATAAGGGATCGTCAGGGGTAAGAGTGGGGATGTCTCAACTTGTTTCCAATATGCTAGAATCGTTACTGCAACTTTGGAAGCAGAATGCTTCACCTGAACATGTAAGTTGTTTAATATGTAATATTGTCGTCAAATCTTTGTTCAAATATTTCCTTAGCTTCTACTGTTCACAGTAAAGTTAATGAAATCGTTGACGTGACTAAAATTCAAAATTTGTTAAGTTTATTTTTTGAATGCTTATACTATGTATGTGTTTATGTACATGTTGATAACGTAATGCAACTCTTTATGTTTATCATTTTATCGACGTGTCATTAATTGATTAAAATTGAATTTTGTCATGTTAATAAAGTGATAATTTTTTATATTTACGTATGTTTTTTGTTTAATAAAGAAACTTACAAATGGTTTTAACTGATGATTTTAGTNTGCGATCTGACATAATTAAGCTACCCTTCAATTGGATGCTTAAATGACCAAAAAAATGTAAATACAAAAACGCGCACGTAAATTTTCGAACTGTTAAAACAATATTCTGAACGTTCTAAGGGATGAAAAATATGTAAGAAGGTATGTAGAATCCAGTGGTATTATATACTAGAACGTTTGCATTTTTCTAATAAAAATAATAATTTCAGTAAATACACATTAGAAAAGTCGTACTCTCAAGAAATAAATTGTTTTAAATTAATTTTTACCTATTATCTCCACGCTGGAACAATTCCTGACAAGGGCAGTGTAACTTTACACAACATACTTACGTACTAACATGTTTTTTTGTATTTCTCGAGATAGATATGATAAGTATTAGTCAGATAGGCAAGGTGACTGAATGTTAGATTATGAACAAAACAGTTCTCTTATTTCAATAGCAAAATATACTACCGAAAGTTTACGAATTATCGAAACATAAAAATTATACAATACCATCCCACTAAGTAAACCGGTTACCATAAAATAAAAAAATCCCTGTATCACTTATTATCATAATGAAATAAAATGATTTTTAATGTTTCAAATATTTTTTCTAATAAACTCATCAACTTCATTCATGGTAAATTAAAAACTACTTACATTTTTAACCACTTAACCATTATCCCATTCTCTCCATTAATATGCTACTAAAAACTGACCGCGTTAAAACACCCTTCTAAAAGTTGTAAAAAATAAAGATTACGCACGAAAGTATCTAGAATCCAGTGGTGCTATCAGATTTGGGGTGCGATCTGACATAATTAAGCTACCCTTCAATTGGATGCTTAAATGACCAAAAAAATGTAAATACAAAAACGCGCACGTAAATTTTCGAACTGTTAAAACAATATTCTGAACGTTCTAAGGGATGAAAAATATGTAAGAAGGTATGTAGAATCCAGTGGTGCTATCAGATTTGGGGTGCGATCTGACATAATTAAGCTACCCTTCAATTGGATGCTTAAATGACCAAAAAAATGTAAATACAAAAACGCGCACGTAAATTTTCGAACTGTTAAAACAATATTCTGAACGTTCTAAGGGATGAAAAATATGTAAGAAGGTATGTAGAATCCAGTGGTGCTATCAGATTTGGGGTGCGATCTGACATAATTAAGCTACCCTTCAATTGGATGCTTAAATGACCAAAAAAATGTAAATACAAAAACGCGCACGTAAATTTTCGAACTGTTAAAACAATATTCTGAACGTTCTAAGGGATGAAAAATATGTAAGAAGGTATGTAGAATCCAGTGGTGCTATCAGATTTGGGGTGCGATCTGACATAATTAAGCTACCCTTCAATTGGATGCTTAAATGACCAAAAAAATGTAAATACAAAAACGCGCACGTAAATTTTCGAACTGTTAAAACAATATTCTGAACGTTCTAAGGGATGAAAAATATGTAAGAAGGTATGTAGAATCCAGTGGTGCTATCAGATTTGGGGTGCGATCTGACATAATTAAGCTACCCTTCAATTGGATGCTTAAATGACCAAAAAAATGTAAATACAAAAACGCGCACGTAAATTTTCGAACTGTTAAAACAATATTCTGAACGTTCTAAGGGATGAAAAATATGTAAGAAGGTATGTAGAATCCAGTGGTGCTATCAGATTTGGGGTGCGATCTGACATAATTAAGCTACCCTTCAATTGGATGCTTAAATGACCAAAAAAATGTAAATACAAAAACGCGCACGTAAATTTTCGAACTGTTAAAACAATATTCTGAACGTTCTAAGGGATGAAAAATATGTAAGAAGGTATGTAGAATCCAGTGGTGCTATCAGATTTGGGGTGCGATCTGACATAATTAAGCTACCCTTCAATTGGATGCTTAAATGACCAAAAAAATGTAAATACAAAAACGCGCACGTAAATTTTCGAACTGTTAAAACAATATTCTGAACGTTCTAAGGGATGAAAAATATGTAAGAAGGTATGTAGAATCCAGTGGTGCTATCAGATTTGGGGTGCGATCTGACATAATTAAGCTACCCTTCAATTGGATGCTTAAATGACCAAAAAAATGTAAATACAAAAACGCGCACGTAAATTTTCGAACTGTTAAAACAATATTCTGAACGTTCTAAGGGATGAAAAATATGTAAGAAGGTATGTAGAATCCAGTGGTGCTATCAGATTTGGGGTGCGATCTGACATAATTAAGCTACCCTTCAATTGGATGCTTAAATGACCAAAAAAATGTAAATACAAAAACGCGCACGTAAATTTTCGAACTGTTAAAACAATATTCTGAACGTTCTAAGGGATGAAAAATATGTAAGAAGGTATGTAGAATCCAGTGGTGCTATCAGATTTGGGGTGCGATCTGACATAATTAAGCTACCCTTCAATTGGATGCTTAAATGACCAAAAAAATGTAAATACAAAAACGCGCACGTAAATTTTCGAACTGTTAAAACAATATTCTGAACGTTCTAAGGGATGAAAAATATGTAAGAAGGTATGTAGAATCCAGTGGTGCTATCAGATTTGGGGTGCGATCTGACATAATTAAGCTACCCTTCAATTGGATGCTTAAATGACCAAAAAAATGTAAATACAAAAACGCGCACGTAAATTTTCGAACTGTTAAAACAATATTCTGAACGTTCTAAGGGATGAAAAATATGTAAGAAGGTATGTAGAATCCAGTGGTGCTATCAGATTTGGGGTGCGATCTGACATAATTAAGCTACCCTTCAATTGGATGCTTAAATGACCAAAAAAATGTAAATACAAAAACGCGCACGTAAATTTTCGAACTGTTAAAACAATATTCTGAACGTTCTAAGGGATGAAAAATATGTAAGAAGGTATGTAGAATCCAGTGGTGCTATCAGATTTGGGGTGCGATCTGACATAATTAAGCTACCCTTCAATTGGATGCTTAAATGACCAAAAAAATGTAAATACAAAAACGCGCACGTAAATTTTCGAACTGTTAAAACAATATTCTGAACGTTCTAAGGGATGAAAAATATGTAAGAAGGTATGTAGAATCCAGTGGTGCTATCAGATTTGGGGTGCGATCTGACATAATTAAGCTACCCTTCAATTGGATGCTTAAATGACCAAAAAAATGTAAATACAAAAACGCGCACGTAAATTTTCGAACTGTTAAAACAATATTCTGAACGTTCTAAGGGATGAAAAATATGTAAGAAGGTATGTAGAATCCAGTGGTGCTATCAGATTTGGGGTGCGATCTGACATAATTAAGCTACCCTTCAATTGGATGCTTAAATGACCAAAAAAATGTAAATACAAAAACGCGCACGTAAATTTTCGAACTGTTAAAACAATATTCTGAACGTTCTAAGGGATGAAAAATATGTAAGAAGGTATGTAGAATCCAGTGGTGCTATCAGATTTGGGGTGCGATCTGACATAATTAAGCTACCCTTCAATTGGATGCTTAAATGACCAAAAAAATGTAAATACAAAAACGCGCACGTAAATTTTCGAACTGTTAAAACAATATTCTGAACGTTCTAAGGGATGAAAAATATGTAAGAAGGTATGTAGAATCCAGTGGTGCTATCAGATTTGGGGTGCGATCTGACATAATTAAGCTACCCTTCAATTGGATGCTTAAATGACCAAAAAAATGTAAATACAAAAACGCGCACGTAAATTTTCGAACTGTTAAAACAATATTCTGAACGTTCTAAGGGATGAAAAATATGTAAGAAGGTATGTAGAATCCAGTGGTGCTATCAGATTTGGGGTGCGATCTGACATAATTAAGCTACCCTTCAATTGGATGCTTAAATGACCAAAAAAATGTAAATACAAAAACGCGCACGTAAATTTTCGAACTGTTAAAACAATATTCTGAACGTTCTAAGGGATGAAAAATATGTAAGAAGGTATGTAGAATCCAGTGGTGCTATCAGATTTGGGGTGCGATCTGACATAATTAAGCTACCCTTCAATTGGATGCTTAAATGACCAAAAAAATGTAAATACAAAAACGCGCACGTAAATTTTCGAACTGTTAAAACAATATTCTGAACGTTCTAAGGGATGAAAAATATGTAAGAAGGTATGTAGAATCCAGTGGTGCTATCAGATTTGGGGTGCGATCTGACATAATTAAGCTACCCTTCAATTGGATGCTTAAATGACCAAAAAAATGTAAATACAAAAACGCGCACGTAAATTTTCGAACTGTTAAAACAATATTCTGAACGTTCTAAGGGATGAAAAATATGTAAGAAGGTATGTAGAATCCAGTGGTGCTATCAGATTTGGGGTGCGATCTGACATAATTAAGCTACCCTTCAATTGGATGCTTAAATGACCAAAAAAATGTAAATACAAAAACGCGCACGTAAATTTTCGAACTGTTAAAACAATATTCTGAACGTTCTAAGGGATGAAAAATATGTAAGAAGGTATGTAGAATCCAGTGGTGCTATCAGATTTGGGGTGCGATCTGACATAATTAAGCTACCCTTCAATTGGATGCTTAAATGACCAAAAAAATGTAAATACAAAAACGCGCACGTAAATTTTCGAACTGTTAAAACAATATTCTGAACGTTCTAAGGGATGAAAAATATGTAAGAAGGTATGTAGAATCCAGTGGTGCTATCAGATTTGGGGTGCGATCTGACATAATTAAGCTACCCTTCAATTGGATGCTTAAATGACCAAAAAAATGTAAATACAAAAACGCGCACGTAAATTTTCGAACTGTTAAAACAATATTCTGAACGNTGATTATTAATTATTAGATATATATTTTATATAAGGGGTTAAGTTTGAAAAAATAAGTCAAGTACGATGTTTTTGTACTTACACGTTTTAATTATAAGAAATCGTTAAAAAATTACTCGGTGACGCATTTGTACTCTTTTTTTTAATAAAATATTTAAAACCAACTTACGCTTTTCTTTACAATAACTTTTTGATAATATCATTACCGAGGAGGTACAAGATTGAACCTTTTGAAACTTATTTATGTTATACAATTTGCGAAAAACCACAACTACCTCAAAATATTTTGCTCATTTGGAAGTCAAACTTTTTCACGCAAAAATTTAACCTACGTGTACTTTTATAGCACATGTTCGATGCACGTGTGAGTTGTGAACCGATTGTCCCGCACTCTTTATCAAATGTCGCGACATTTAATTTGATATACACAGTTCGAAAAGCTAATAAATAAAAAAGAAACTTATACATTTCGTATTTATTCGTTCTATGCACCTATGTCTTTATTGATTATATCTGTAAGTACATTAAAAAATATGTTCCAAGTTACCAAGCCCATTACACACTATGAAATAAGATACATATATCACAGTTTTTGTAGGTATATTGAAACGAGCTTAGGAAAGAATAAAAGAACTTGTCCCTAAGGACGCTACTTATCAATTCGTTGTTTACGCTGACTTTTCGTGTGCCTAGATGATAAAAAAGAAAGAAAATTACTAGAGCCTGTTCTAAGTTAATATTTAAGCAATACCAAAAAAAAGTATTGTTATATAATATTTACCTCCCGCGCTATTTTCATTAAATTCTCCATCATGGAACTCCCCGTGTTTTGAACGAGACTGTAAAAGAATCCGTTTGAATTTTGTAGTAAATTATAAGGACTGTCGAACTCCTTGATCTCCCCAGCATCCAAAACCAGCACCTTGTCTGAATCCATGACTGTATGTAATCTATGCGCTATCGTTAATACTGTGCAATTAATAAATTGTTTCCGAATAGTTTCCTGAATTAATTTATCAGTCTGGTGGTCGACGTTTGCCGTGGCTTCGTCCAAAATCAATATTTTATTATCTCTTATAACTGCTCGGGCTAGACAGACCAGCTGCCTTTGGCCAACACTGAAATTGGACCCTCCTTCGGACATTTTTGTATTCAAACCGAGATTCAATTCAGAAACCACCTGTTTTAGCTGAACTTGTTCAAGAGCGGTCCACAACGTCTCGTCGGAGTACTCTTCAAACGGATCTAGATTCTTGCGAAGTGTTCCAGAGAAAAGAACAGGTTCTTGGGGAATAATTGATATCTTGCAACGCAATTTATCGAGAGGTATTTTGGTTATTTGCAAATCGTCGATAAGAATTTCACCTTCGATTTCGCATAATTGGAATAGAGCTGTGATAAGGGAACTCTTTCCGGCTCCTGTTCTCCCAACTATTCCAACTTTTTCTTGTGGATTTATGGTAAAGTTTAAGTTTTTAAGTACATAAGGACTACGAGAGGAATATTTGAGAAAAACTGACTTAAATTGTATATTTCCATTTTCTGGCCAGACGGGTGGGGGTATTACTTCCGTTCTCTCGGGCTCTGTCTCTATTTGTGTGTATTCTACAACTCTTTCAACCGACGTCATTTGATTTTCCAGTTCACTCCACTGTCTCATTCCCCATTGTAACATTCCTGTTAAACTTATCACCTGAGTTATGGCTAAACCCACGTTCCCACCATACTGATCTAAAATGTGACAAGAGTGACAATTTAAAATTAATTCATTTTTTTTTTGAGATTTTGTTTAAAATGAAAAAGGAATGCGACAGATAAGAGATCAAACTATGTTAACCCGGGTTATTCAATGACTACAAGGTGCTTTAATTATAATAGTCCTGTATAGGATTTTTGTGAAAACCCGATCATCAAAACATCACAAGATAAAGACTTTTAATTTTCTCATTTTGTTTGTCGTTGTATTAAGGTCTTAAAAAGCGAAAAGTCGTCTAGTTTTAAGTCAACTGTATACTTATATTATACATGTATTGGCTCACCATCGGACATCAACAAGAAACTGAAGGTAACGGATGCAATATAAAGGACACAAACCAGATCCAGCCAGTATCCAAAAGCTCTGGAACAAGCCAAGAATAAGTACCAGGAAGCGCTGTGTAGGTTTTGATGCCTATCGAATTCCTTTCTTAAAATCTCTTCTGCCCTGAAGGCCCTTATTGTCGTAAGTCCTTGTAAAGAGGCGTTTAAATGGGTAAAGACTGGACTTCTAGCTGAAATAAATAAAATGATAAGCTGTTGTAACATTAAACGGCCAAAAACTTACTAACTCCTTCCAGTCGCTTGATACTTCTACTTGTTGCCAAGAATACAACTCTCAGTACATAAAACAAAACAAACACCATACATGATACTATTATCATCCAAACGTTGACGATACACACTACAACCGTTACACCTAAAACGCTAAGACCTATCTGGAAATGATAAACAAAGTTTCATGTTAAGTAAAAAGGAAACAAAAAAGAAAAAAGTAGAAACTTACTTGTAAACTATCGATAAGAACGCCAGGAAGAATTTCGTCCACGCTCCCCATATCCTTTGAGAATCGATTGAGGATCCTTCCCGAAGGATTCACGTTGAAAAATCTCATAGTTGCATACACTATATGCGCAAACATGGTGTTATGGATGTTCTGGGAAGCCTTCATGCAAAACTTGTAAAACAGGAACGATCTTGATAATGTAATCGTTATATTTAGGGCTACAATTGCCGTGTACACGTAGATGCCGTGTTCTCTAATAAAATAAGTTGTTCCATCCACGTTCCCGTTGTCTTTATGCGAACTCATGTCCTGCTCTATGTTTGTCCTAAAAAAAAACGAGATTAAGAATGCACAACTAAGGGTTAATAAAGTGATAATTTTTTATATTTACGTATGTTTTTTGTTTAATAAAGAAACTTACAAATGGTTTTAACTGATGATTTTAGTGCCTTATTTATATAGAACAAAAACTGCAAGAATTCTGCGTTCTCTCTAAGGCATTGGCTGAACTTTTATTGGAGACTGAGTTTTGTAGCATGGAACTGTTAACTTCAACTTTACATTTAGAAGTTAACGATGTCCCTCTTCTTATGGCTGTTGCCTCGACCCATTCGCCTCAAGTTACAGAAAAATATGGACTTAGTTTCCAATAAGTTTTACTTATATGTAGTACCATCATCACATTTTCTTTTCCTTACTGAAAGCATTTACTGTGACCTACACAAATAAGTGGAAAGTGTGAAATGTTAATTCTACGACGTGTGAGAAAATATTGTGATTTATTATTTTATTTTATGTTACATTATCTTTTAATTATTCTGTGATAATTATTCTCCACTTTTTAAAATCAAAATTTCCAGTAATTTATAGCGATGTCTTATTTAAACTTTGATTTATTCCTTTGTTAATTGTAAATATTCGAAACTATTATGAGTAGATAAGGTAGTGCATACATTTTTGTATTTTTAAACCGAAATATCTTTTATTTTAATACTTATTGTGTTATTTTTGTTTATTTAATTATACAGTATACATGTACGTGTACTACCATGTTCCAAAAAATTATAGTCATTAAATAAGATTATTGATTATTAATTATTAGATATATATTTTATATAAGGGGTTAAGTTTGAAAAAATAAGTCAAGTACGATGTTTTTGTACTTACACGTTTTAATTATAAGAAATCGTTAAAAAATTACTCGGTGACGCATTTGTACTCTTTTTTTTAATAAAATATTTAAAACCAACTTACGCTTTTCTTTACAATAACTTTTTGATAATATCATTACCGAGGAGGTACAAGATTGAACCTTTTGAAACTTATTTATGTTATACAATTTGCGAAAAACCACAACTACCTCAAAATATTTTGCTCATTTGGAAGTCAAACTTTTTCACGCAAAAATTTAACCTACGTGTACTTTTATAGCACATGTTCGATGCACGTGTGAGTTGTGAACCGATTGTCCCGCACTCTTTATCAAATGTCGCGACATTTAATTTGATATACACAGTTCGAAAAGCTAATAAATAAAAAAGAAACTTATACATTTCGTATTTATTCGTTCTATGCACCTATGTCTTTATTGATTATATCTGTAAGTACATTAAAAAATATGTTCCAAGTTACCAAGCCCATTACACACTATGAAATAAGATACATATATCACAGTTTTTGTAGGTATATTGAAACGAGCTTAGGAAAGAATAAAAGAACTTGTCCCTAAGGACGCTACTTATCAATTCGTTGTTTACGCTGACTTTTCGTGTGCCTAGATGATAAAAAAGAAAGAAAATTACTAGAGCCTGTTCTAAGTTAATATTTAAGCAATACCAAAAAAAAGTATTGTTATATAATATTTACCTCCCGCGCTATTTTCATTAAATTCTCCATCATGGAACTCCCCGTGTTTTGAACGAGACTGTAAAAGAATCCGTTTGAATTTTGTAGTAAATTATAAGGACTGTCGAACTCCTTGATCTCCCCAGCATCCAAAACCAGCACCTTGTCTGAATCCATGACTGTATGTAATCTATGCGCTATCGTTAATACTGTGCAATTAATAAATTGTTTCCGAATAGTTTCCTGAATTAATTTATCAGTCTGGTGGTCGACGTTTGCCGTGGCTTCGTCCAAAATCAATATTTTATTATCTCTTATAACTGCTCGGGCTAGACAGACCAGCTGCCTTTGGCCAACACTGAAATTGGACCCTCCTTCGGACATTTTTGTATTCAAACCGAGATTCAATTCAGAAACCACCTGTTTTAGCTGAACTTGTTCAAGAGCGGTCCACAACGTCTCGTCGGAGTACTCTTCAAACGGATCTAGATTCTTGCGAAGTGTTCCAGAGAAAAGAACAGGTTCTTGGGGAATAATTGATATCTTGCAACGCAATTTATCGAGAGGTATTTTGGTTATTTGCAAATCGTCGATAAGAATTTCACCTTCGATTTCGCATAATTGGAATAGAGCTGTGATAAGGGAACTCTTTCCGGCTCCTGTTCTCCCAACTATTCCAACTTTTTCTTGTGGATTTATGGTAAAGTTTAAGTTTTTAAGTACATAAGGACTACGAGAGGAATATTTGAGAAAAACTGACTTAAATTGTATATTTCCATTTTCTGGCCAGACGGGTGGGGGTATTACTTCCGTTCTCTCGGGCTCTGTCTCTATTTGTGTGTATTCTACAACTCTTTCAACCGACGTCATTTGATTTTCCAGTTCACTCCACTGTCTCATTCCCCATTGTAACATTCCTGTTAAACTTATCACCTGAGTTATGGCTAAACCCACGTTCCCACCATACTGATCTAAAATGTGACAAGAGTGACAATTTAAAATTAATTCATTTTTTTTTTGAGATTTTGTTTAAAATGAAAAAGGAATGCGACAGATAAGAGATCAAACTATGTTAACCCGGGTTATTCAATGACTACAAGGTGCTTTAATTATAATAGTCCTGTATAGGATTTTTGTGAAAACCCGATCATCAAAACATCACAAGATAAAGACTTTTAATTTTCTCATTTTGTTTGTCGTTGTATTAAGGTCTTAAAAAGCGAAAAGTCGTCTAGTTTTAAGTCAACTGTATACTTATATTATACATGTATTGGCTCACCATCGGACATCAACAAGAAACTGAAGGTAACGGATGCAATATAAAGGACACAAACCAGATCCAGCCAGTATCCAAAAGCTCTGGAACAAGCCAAGAATAAGTACCAGGAAGCGCTGTGTAGGTTTTGATGCCTATCGAATTCCTTTCTTAAAATCTCTTCTGCCCTGAAGGCCCTTATTGTCGTAAGTCCTTGTAAAGAGGCGTTTAAATGGGTAAAGACTGGACTTCTAGCTGAAATAAATAAAATGATAAGCTGTTGTAACATTAAACGGCCAAAAACTTACTAACTCCTTCCAGTCGCTTGATACTTCTACTTGTTGCCAAGAATACAACTCTCAGTACATAAAACAAAACAAACACCATACATGATACTATTATCATCCAAACGTTGACGATACACACTACAACCGTTACACCTAAAACGCTAAGACCTATCTGGAAATGATAAACAAAGTTTCATGTTAAGTAAAAAGGAAACAAAAAAGAAAAAAGTAGAAACTTACTTGTAAACTATCGATAAGAACGCCAGGAAGAATTTCGTCCACGCTCCCCATATCCTTTGAGAATCGATTGAGGATCCTTCCCGAAGGATTCACGTTGAAAAATCTCATAGTTGCATACACTATATGCGCAAACATGGTGTTATGGATGTTCTGGGAAGCCTTCATGCAAAACTTGTAAAACAGGAACGATCTTGATAATGTAATCGTTATATTTAGGGCTACAATTGCCGTGTACACGTAGATGCCGTGTTCTCTAATAAAATAAGTTGTTCCATCCACGTTCCCGTTGTCTTTATGCGAACTCATGTCCTGCTCTATGTTTGTCCTAAAAAAAAACGAGATTAAGAATGCACAACTAAGGACCTATTTATTATTTTTTTTGTAAAGTGTATTAATGATGTATTTACCAAAAACTTATGAAGTAGTCTCCTCCACTAACGGCTGCTTGACTTAAAATAAATAACATAAAAATAAAGAATACTGCGATCCATGAGCCGCCAGCTCTTAAATAGGACCAATAGACCGTTTTCGATACATTGCCTGAAGCTTTTGATTCGCTTTGCAGTGTCGGAACTAGCTCTTCGACGCTTTTGCTTTTTGACTTTTTAACGGGTAGTTCTTCTTCGTAAAAATCTTGCTCGTTTTCGTTTTCATCGTTGCCGTCCAATTCCTTCAAAAATTGAAACCTGTCCGTCTTCAGATCGTTGTAGTTTCCATCCTGTACCATTTGTCCTGCGTCCAGGACAATGATCCTGCCTGCACTGTGCAAATACTGGAGTTGATGGGTCACAAGAATAACCAGTTTCCCTTTAAGGAACTTCATAATGCATTCTTCGAAAAGAAACTTGCCGACGTGCGTATCAACTGCTGATAGTGGGTCGTCCAATAGATAAATGTCGGCTTGTCTATAAACGGCTCTTGCCAGGTTTATTCGAGCCCTTTGGCCTCCGCTTAGGGTGGTCCCCCTTTCTCCTACAATAGTCCTGTCGCCGTACGGGAAGAGCGTAAAATCCCTTTCTAATGCGCAAACCCTTACAACATTTTCGTATCTTTCTGAGTCAAAGCTGCTGCCGAAGAGAATGTTTTGCCTTATGGACCCTGAGAATAGCCAGGGTTCTTGCGATGAGTACGAGATTTTTCCGTGGACTTGTAAGGAACCTTCTGAAATGGGGAGTTCCCTTAGTATCAAGTGCAGAAGACTCGTTTTTCCGCTACCGACTTGTCCTACTATAGCTACGAGACTATGGTCTTGTATCTCTAAGTTGATGTTACTCAAAGTCGAATCGCTCTCGTTGCTGGACCATTTTGCGTACGCTCCTTTTATTTTTATCGACACGTTGTGGGTTTCGTTCGAGTTACTTTTACTTAAGTCTAGTTTTCCGTTTTCGAAAGGTCTTCCCGTATTGTCATCGGAGAATTTGTACACGTCGTCCTGAGTTTCCTTTTCTTCGTACAACAGAAACGTTTTGACTCTTTTTATGGAAACGGCGGACTCGGCGAATTCAGTTATACCGCTGGGAAACTGCAGAACGAGCGTTGCCCTCAATATGTTGTAATACGAGGTCAAAACGAAAACGTATTGTGCACTAACGTAATTGTCCGATAACGAATAGGCAAGGACGCAAAGGAAAATAGAAAACCTAACGGCAAATATTTTCAGAGATAGCATGAATCCCCGGATGTAAGACGCGGACAATATTTGCTTTACTTCTCTCCTAAAATACGAAAGATAATAAATTAATTTACATTACATCTATTTACATTGGTTCAACGGACTCGCTACTTACTTTCTCACATTCGATACCAATTTAACAAACGGTTTTTCCCACGTGTACATTTTAATTACTTGAATTCCAGATATTATTTCATCCATCAGTCTCACTCTTTCGTCAGTTCTGAAAGCTGTCGCCAATCGGTAAACGGATGACTTTTTGCCAAGGAACACTAGAAGAACAAATTGGTAATTATTAGGGAGATTTAGATTAAAGGAAATCTAAAATCACACCGAATGCTACGAATACTAATCCACGAGGAGCCTAGGTAGTGAACCTTCCCCAACTAGAATTTAAAGGAACATGTACATGTCATCCCGTATCTACTGTAACTTCAAAAAGAAAACATAAGCAATCAATACTAATCAATATCGAGTTTTTTTGTTTGAAACCGAAACTTTGAACTGACTGATGATGATGACGATTTTGATGGAAAATGTTAAAGTTAAGAAACTCTAAAAGCACTAAATGCAAAAATAAGGACTCGAAAGATCCCGAAGTATTCCCGATTTCTAGTCTGATATTTTCAGAGATGGAGTTAGATACTTACAAGTAGTATAAACATTTATAAACCAGAATGTATTGGTCTTTACTTACTTTGAACAGGAATGAACAAAATCAAGAATATTGATCCTAGAGTGGCAGTAAAACCCAAGTGGAAATAAATTATAATAACAATTATTGTCGTTTCTATAGGGGAAACCCAAAGGCTATGGATGTGGTTCATTGCAGAATCGAATCTGCTGACGTCGTTAGACAGTAAATTAACCATCTGTCCAATGGTGGTCTCTTTCAGGGCCGTTTTGCTCAATTTTAACGCCTTCCTGTAGATCAGGGAACAGCAAGCAACGCGAATTTGCATCCCCAAGTGTTGATTCCCTAACATATACAAATGGGCGATAATGACATTTAGTAATGAACCTCCTACAATTATTCCCGCATAAATGTAAGCGTCAGTCTTGGTAAGATTTGAATCTGGCGATGTATAATACATGATCAGTTGACCCAACGCCAGAGGCTGTGCTATTCTAAAAATGGAGAGTTGAGTGAATATTATTGAATTGTATTACAAAAACATACGTCCTACTTCACCACAACTTCAATGAAAAACAAAACGCAACCAAGAAGAGCTACCCTCAAACCGAAAACTCGTATTAAAGCGCGCCAAAGGGATGGACTTTCTTTTAATTTTTCTCTCTTCCACGCCGCCTCTAAAACATCCCCCAAACGACTGGACTCATGGTCTTCCAAAGGCTCAAACAGGTCTTCCTCCTGCAGGTCCTTCTTGAATCCTTTTATGAATATGGGGATCAACCAACTAAAAAAAAATACAACGAGTAATTATACGACACGCTACTGAAGTGAAACTTCTTCAAACACACAATCATACTGGGATAGGGGTTAAGGAATTGGTTGAATGGTATTGTTTGTACACTATACTTCGCACGGGTGCAATGCTGATAGTAAATATACTATAGAATGTCTTTATATACAACAATCACAGCTTTTTTATCATTAGACAATACAAACCGTCCAATACCGCCGAAACAGCTATATCCCTGCATTTTAAGTCTGTAATATCTTCGAAAATATTCATTTAAATTACATGCTGTAAAGGGCCATATTGATCTATATTAAATGCACAATGTATTTAAAAGTACTTAATTGGATAAGGATTAATGCTGTATTGCTTAAAATCGCTTCGTAAATAAGCCATTATTTCTCGTAAAAAGTAAAGGATAAAAAATGGTTATTGTGGGTTAT